CCCCACACCCATCTTCCTCCTGCTCCATCTGCTTATCCTCCCAGCAGGCTTGGAATATGGTTCCTGTTCAGCCCCCTCAATTCCAGGACAAGGACTGCGGGGGTGACTTTTCTGGCATCTCTGTATGTTCTAAATATGAAGAACTGATAGAAACACTAACTGCTGGCCTTTTAAAAATCTGGGGTCTTAGATTATGTCAGGGCTGACTTCCCAGGTGTGATGTTGTATGCACTTTAGCAAGATATTGCCCTTGTGGAGGGGGTACCAGACTGGGTGGAGGGTCTGAGGCTCTCTCTGTGTCATTTCTTACAACTACATGTGAATCTTTAATTACCGTGATGGTGTGCTTATCATTACCAAAATCGTGTGCTTAGTCACTCAGTTGTGTCCGACTCTTTGTGACCCCATGGATTAGCCCGCCGGGCTCCTCTGTCCATGGGATTCTCCAGGCAAGAGTACTGGAGTGGGTTGCCAAGATCCACCAGGGGATCTTCCTGACCCAGGGATCGAGCCTGCATCTCCTGTGTCTGCTACACTGCAGGTGGATTCTTTACCTGCTGGGCCGTCTAGTCCGCCACAAATACCATTGTTGTTGCTTAGTTGCTAAGTCCTGTCCGACTCTTTGCAGCCCCATGGACTTTAAATAGGGTCTTTTAAATACTGCAAACTCCAAAGAGGCCCTAGATTTGAATTTTCCAGGAGCACCAATGTATTTACATGGCGTTAACACTTTGCTGATATCCAGAACACGTAACAATAGGATACCAAAACCACTCAAGGCAGTAAAAAGCAATGAAGTGCTGATAGAGGCTATAATGGAAGAACCATGAAAACACCATGCTAATTGCAAGAAGCCAGACACAAAAGACCACATGCTGTATGATTCTTTTTTTATATGAAATATCCAGAGAGACAGAAAGCAAATTAATGGTCCCTTAGGGCTGGGAGTTGAGAGATGGGGGGGTGGGGGTGGGGAGGGGCTGCTGATGAGTATGGGGTTTCTTTTTTTGGGTGATGTTCTACAATTAGATTGTGGTGACGGTTGCAGAACTCTGTGACGAGACTAAAAACCATTGAACTGTACAGTTTAAATGTGTAAATTGACTGGTATGTGTATTATATCGCAATAAAGCTATTTAAAAAAGTGTAACGTCCTTTGACAGTTTTAAGAGAAATAATAAAAGTCCTTGGGAAAGAGCTGGTGTCCTCTAGATGCAAGCACTTCCAGACACTGGTTGGAATGCCTCAATTCAGGCCACTGTCTTGGGGCATGTTTTGGCTCCCTCATAAACCAGATTCACAGGCCCTCCACTGAAACCACAGTGGTGTTTCTGATGCTCCTCCTGAGGGTATGAAACCTCAGTACATGCCAGACATTTCGCCAGGTGCTTTCACATGCTTTCTTTTTTTTTTTTTTAAGGTTTTATAATTTTTTTTTCATTTATTTTTATTAGTTGGAGGCTAATTACTTTACAATATTGTAGTGGTTTTTGTCATACATTGACATGAATCAGCCATGGATTTACATGTATTCCCCATCCCGATCCCCCCTCCCACCTCTTTCTTTTTGTAAAAATTAATTTGATTTATTTATTTATTTTTAGCTGTGCTGGGTCTTCGTTGCTGCATGGGATTTTCTCTAGTTGCAGCGAGCAGGGGATACTCTCTAGTAACCGTGTGTGGGCTTCTGATTCTGGTGGCTTTTCTTGTTGTGGAGCACACGCTCTAGGGCACATGGGCTTCAGTGTTGCAGCTCTGGGCTCTAGAGCCCAGGCTCAATAGTTGTGGTGAACTGGGCGTAGTTGCTCCGCAGTATGGGGATCTTATGAGACCAGAGATCAAACCTGGGTCTCTCGCTTTGGCAGGCGGATTCTTTTCCACTGAGCCCCTTGGGAAGCTTTCACATGCTTTCTTGAACTTCTCAAGGCCCTGCATGCATGGATGCTTGATGCCCATGTTTCATATGTGAAGAGGTGGTGGTTCCAAGGAATATATACAGCAGAAGGGTGATGCTGTGGGAGTCAGCATCAGAACGTGGGGCTCACCGACCCCAAAGACCATCTTCTTTTCCTTGCCTGCTACCAGACTGGGTTGATGAATTGTCCCTCTAAAGACAGAAGCCAGGCCCTCCCAGGGACAGATGGCTTAGGACAGTCACCAGGGAAAAGGCCTGTGGGTGCCATGCAAGTCATTTCCAGGCTCTGTCCTCCTCCTCGGGGCATCTCTGCTCCCTCCGGAAATGACTGTGACACTCTGCCCTGTTCTCTGGAGCAGCTCTTCCCAGGAGACCTTCTGTGGAAAGAGAACTGTGGGAAAACATGAGGAGTCATTTCGTGGACACGTTTCGGAGTGTCGTTCATTCTGGCAGGAAATGTGTTTATTCCCCAAAGTCCTCAGCTTTGCCTGAGTCCTGAGTTTTCAAGGGTTCATAACTCTAAGAGCTGTTTTTGGATAGGGAGGGAACCGGATATTTTTGGTACGTGATAAAGCTGTTGTGTAGAAAACAGGACCCTGATGGTAAAAGCGGCACAAGTGAATGACCTTGGCGAGGGGAGTCAGTGGGAAAAGGTTTGCACTCGGCTTCCCTGGTGGCTCAGGGTAAAGAATCCTCCTGCGAGTGAAGGAGACAGGGTTCGACCCCGGGTCAGAAAGATCCCCTGGAGAAGGAAATGGCAACCCATTCCAGTATTCTGGCCTGGGAAATCCCATGGACAGAGGAGCCTGGTGGGCTACCTTCCACGGGGTCACAAAGAGTCGGACACGACTGAGCGACTAGACGATAATAACAGCAAGTGATACTTAGGGTGGTCCCAGGAAGATCCCTCAGCTCCTGGGGAACTTATGAAAAGTGCAGATTCTCAGGTCCCCGCCCAGGCCTACAGACTTTGAAAGTCTGGGAGTGATGTCCAGGAAACTGGGTTTTAATTAGCTCTCAAGATAATTTTCTCTGAAGTTTGAGGAGCCTAGCACCCAATGATCTTACATACGCTTGGGGTTGAACAGGAAAATCTGGTTGTGTTCCCAGGAGGGCATGCCCTTCTGAGCTTGACCTATCTTGCAGGGTGATGTATGAGCTGGAAGGGAGCATTCATTCATTTGTTGAAAATACATATTGAGCACTGCCTGTATCAGTGCATCCACACCCTGCTCTGGGAGACTTTACATCCCATGGAGGAGGGTGGGGTGGGGTGGAGTGGGGGCTAGAGTCAGAGAGTAAAGTGTGCTCAGTAGTGCCTGACTCTTTGTGACCCCCTGGACTGTAGCCCTCCAGTCCTCTATGCATGCCATAAAGTAGGGAAACCTGATGCAGAAACTGCTGCAAATGGGAATGTGACCCTGGGGTGCTGACATTTAACCCAATCAGAAGGGGGAAAAAAAGCCAAGATGCCCAAGGAAAGAGCAAGGTGAATGGATTTCCAAAGAGAGGGCACTGCCCCTGCAAAGATCCGGGGGTGGGGGAGTTGGCAGGTCAAAGAATGAAACATGGCCAGCCATGGTGGCCCAAAGGTGGTGAGCAGTGGGTAGGTAGCAGAGATTACGTTGGAGAGATAAGTTGGGGCTGATTTTCAGAACCAAAAAGAGGAGTTAGAGTTTTGCTCTACAGATGAGCAGCTACCGGAGCTTTGGAGGAGGGCAAGTGATGAAGCAAAGGGTGTGACTAGGGAAAATTCTGCCAAAACTATGATTGCTACTAAGTCAAATTTTAGTCCTTTTTTTTTTTTTTTTTTTTTTTGCGGAGGGCAGGGGGAACCAATTTAGAAAGAAAAATTGGAATCACTTTGTCAGAGTTTCTGTGTTAGTAGATGGAACAGACTTGTATTAGAAGTCTACCTCCTGCAGAAAAAACTAACACAACATTGTAAGGCAAACAAAACAAAACAAAACAAAACATTGTAAGGCAATTATATGCCAAAAAAATATACATCCTCATTGCTTTCATTAGGTAACATTACATGTTATATGTATTACAATACCAGCTATGTATTTACTATTAATTACATACGCTGCTACTTATAAAGAGTAAATTTTGTCAGAAGAAAATTCAGCTTCGATGTTCATATTTTCCAGGTATATAAAGCCAAGCTCAATTGATTGCACTTGAGCAGTGTGTGTGAGATTTGATCCAGCTCAGAAACTCAACCTCACTAGTGTTGCCTGCGCTGGCATTTTCTTAGCTGAGAACTGCTTACCTGGCTGTCGAAAATCGAATATATAAAAGGATGATTCATTGCTTTAGGCGTCAAGAGTCCCGGGTTTTGTCCTCTTGGTTGCATAAGTTTGAACTGACCTTGGACACGTCGCTTTGGTTTGTATTTGAGTGTCTCTGGGCAGAAGATGAGTAATAAGAATCATGGCCGATGGGCGAGAGCTCTTCAAGACCTGAGAGAGACCACAGCCCATGCAAAGGCCCTGTGGCAGAGGGGAGCAGGCTGATAATATTATAGCAACTCAAAGGCGGCCACTGAGCGGCTGGTGAGCAGAGTGCAAGGGGCAGGTGGTCCAGGATGCTTTCTAGTGGTAGGCGAGGATCTTGTCGGGAACTTTAACTTTTGTCTGGGGACTTCCCTGGCGTGCGCTCAGTTGTGTCAGAATTTCTGCAACCCCACGGACTGTAGCCCACCAGACCGCTCTGTCCATGGGATTTTCCAGGGAAGAATACTTGGAGGGGGGGTTGCCATTTCTTCCTCTAGTGGATCTTCCCCACCCAGGGATCAAACCCACACTCCTCACTGCAGGTGGATTCTTTACCACTGAGCGATCGGGGATAAGACTCTGCACTCCCAGGGCAGGGGGCCTGGGTTTGATCTCTGATTAGGGAACTAGAACCCCCGCGTTGGTACTCAGAGTTAGCGTGCTGCAACTGAAGATCCTGCCTGCTTCTGTACTAAAACCTGGCACAGCCAAATAAATAGACAAATAAATATTAAAAAAAATTTTATCTGATGAGTGAGGGGAAACCATTGGAGGATTTAAATTGGGGAGGGACATAAGGTTGGACTTCTCTGGTGTCTCAGTTGGTAAAGAATCTGCCTGCAATGTGGGAGACCCAGGTTCGATCCCTGGCTGGAGAAGATCTCTTGGAGAAGGAAATGGCAACCCACTCCAATGTTCTTGCCTGGGAAATCCCATGGACAGAGAGCCTGGTGGGTTACAGTTCATGGGGTTGCAAAGAGTTGGACATGATTTAGTAACTAAATTACATAATGTTGATAGATATGCTGTTTCATTGAATCCTCATAACCAATGTATGTGGTACGTGATATCCCTGTTTTTTAAAAAAAATATTTTTCTTGATGTGGACCACTTTTTAAAGTCTTTATTGAATTTGTTACAATATTGTTTCTGTTTTATATTTCGTTTTTGTGGCCGCGAGGCATGTGGGATCTTAGCTCCCCAACCAGGGGTCAAACCCGTGCCCCCTTCATTGGAAGGTGAAGTCTTAACTACTGGACCACCAGGGACGTCCCCATATCTCTATTTTAAACCAATCCAGAAACTTAGGGTCGTGGAGATGAAGTGGCTCACCTTGCTGGTGGGGAGTGGAGCCAGAAGCAAAGCCACGTGCGCCTGACTAGTCCTCTGTACTCCTTATCAGCCCATTTCAATAATAATATAACAATAACCACAGTTTTAAAATGCTTTGAACTCTTAGGATGAACGGTCGCCCTTGAATTACAAAGTGGTATTATGCTGCAGAAATCCGAGTGGTGATGAGATAGTGGATATGCTGGGGAACCTTTACATTTGATCTTAGCCAAAAGACGGAGAAGCAATTGCCGGGGACCTTTTAAAAGGCCCCGTCTGCGTGGCTCTGGTCCAGCATCTTCAAGTTCCCTGTCGTCTGGTGGAGGGTGTCCCTGAAATAGCTATCAATACAGAAAAGGGCTTGGTGTCTCCGGCTCGCCATTTGACACTGCCATTGTCCAAAAGGACTCATTGTCCGTGAAATGTGCCTGAGGTCTGTGCTTTCAGGAGTTTTGTGCTGGGAAATCAGATCTGGGCAGGTCATGCATGGTTTCACTGGAGCAGTCACGCCACGCCAAGTTTCTGCTTTCTCCTTGTTGGGTAGTCTGCTGGTTAAGTGGATTCTTAGAACCTGGTGGTAGAGTTCCATCTTAATTTTGAGCCCTTGTTCAGGGTTGAAATGGGGAAACAGCTTCTGGCTTGCACACCTGGAAGCTCCTATTGGTGACGACGACACTTCTCTTCCTTTCTAGTTGACCACGTGGTTCCTGAGCCTGGGACGAGCCTGCTGGCCGCCTTCGACCAGTGGCGGGAGTGGGCCGACAGCAAGTCCTGCTGCGACTACTCTCTGCATGTGGACATCACCGAATGGCACAAGGGCGTGCAGGAGGAGATGGAGGCCCTGGTGAAGGACCATGGTAGGTCGTGCCCCCCGGCGCTCCCTGGCGGCGTTTCCTTCGCAGACCACGAGCTGCCCCAGCTCTGAGGAAAAGCTGTGTGCATGGTGCCCCGAGGGGCCGGCTGCGCCTGCCAGGAGGGAGGGCGTGGCCTGCAACTTGTGCTGGGCCTGGCCATGGTCAGACAACCGGTCATAGCTTATTGGTGTAAGCACACTGTGTGTGCGTGCCAGCCGGGCTGGGGAGCTGAGGGTGACAGAGGGATTTGCTCTTAAAGGAGAAGAGTGCACCTCCCAGGGAGGACTCTGGGTAATCTTAGAGGAGAGCCTGGGATCCTGAGTACAGAACTTTGGCAGCTTCTGTTTGTAAATCCAGGAGAACCAGGGTAGATTTCAGGGTGATGAGGCTCTGGAACCACATGAGGTGTCTTTTTTTTGTTCCATAGGACTATTTGGGGGAGCCAGCTTCTAAGGACTGGGTTCTGAAAGATTCCCAGGGATGTTGGGGGGATCTTAATCACCTCCAGGTGCCTCTGGGTCCCTCTTATCCACAGGAACCTTAGGGAGTTGGGTGATGTTATCAGACAACATCATCTTTGGGGGTCTTCTTGACCTTGGCTATAGACTGGAGATCACATGGGGTCACATGTTGACCTCTTTGGATCCAAATCATCAAGGAAGCATCTATGCTCTATGGCTCTGGAACTTCTAGGCTCAGAAATACCATGAGCTGAGAGTAAAATCTAGGCATGGATGTGGTAGATATCTACAGATATGGTGGGAAAAGCTTAGAATGATAATCTGTAGTCTGGGGCTTATTTCTCTTCTCTTCCACAAACTAGCTGTGTGACCTTGGCCAAATCACTTAAATTTGATGAGTCTCAGTAAAAGTTTCACATGAGGATATCGGATTAGATACCCTAAGATTCATTCCCACATGGAGGTCCCACATGAAAGAAACTAGGTAATCCTTGACCTTTCTCACTTCTGCAGATGCTGAGACTCAAATGGATTAAATGCTAATAATGAATTTACTCCACATCAGCCTGGAGGGTTCCCATAGCAACTGTTGCCTAGCAGGAGAGAAGGGCCAAAGTGTCCCAAGGCATTGAACACAGGCAGCTTCCAGCACCCCCTGTGGCTTGAATTAAGCTCTAAGGCTAGCAGGTTGTCAGTACAGTTGTTTACCCTTGTGATGGATGTTGAGCGGGGATGTTTGGTCTGGTGCTTTTGGAAGCAAGAACTCTAAAATGCCAGGGTGAGAACTGTGACATCTGCTGTTGCACCCACAGACATTTCTGAAAAATCAGCATAGAAGGCAGTCAGTTTACCGGAGAAAAGACATTTATTACAGATCTTTGAATTCACTTTCTTGTTAAAGTCACAACAGTTAGGAGCAAATTTCTTTCTAATGTTTAACTTTTAATTATGGTAGAATACAGCATAATGTGAAATTTGCTGTCTTAGTCATTTTAAATGTACAGCTCAGTGACACTGAGGACATTCCCACTGTTGTGCGGCCATCACCACCGTCCATCTCCAGACCTTTCTTTCATCTTTCCAAACTAAAACTCTGTCTCCGTTAAACCATACCTTTCCCTTCCCCCAACCCCCATTCTGCTTGTAGGTGGCATGTAGGTGGCATGTAGGTGGAATCCTACAGTGTTTGTCCTTTTGTGACTGACTTATTTCACTTAGCAGAATGTCCTCAAGGCTCATCCATGTTAGATTCTAACATCCTGTGTTAGAATTCCCTTCATTTTAAGGCTGAATAATATTCCACTGTATGGATGGACATTTTGTTTAGCCCTTCATCCATGGACACTTATTTTGCTTTTACCTTTTGGCTATTTCGAACAATGCTGCTGTGAAAATGGGTGTGCAAATACTGGCAATTTAAAATTTTGATATAGTTTTAAATTTAGTAAAAATATTAAAAAGAGCCCTTATGCACCCTAGTACCAGATTTGCCAGTTGTTTGTTTTATCACATTTATTTGCTTTATCTTTCTGCCTCTGTCTTTATCTCTGTCTCTCTTTATCTCTTCCTTTCTTCCTCTTTCTGAGTTTCTCTCTCCACACACATATGCATATTACGACTTCCTTATTCCCCAGATGATTTGGTTTATCTGTGAGTCATGTCTCCAGCTCTGTTCTTTGTCTGTCCTCTAGGAGTGAATTCCTTCCTCGTGTACATGGCTTTCAAAGATCGCTTCCAGCTCACGGATTCCCAGGTAAGAAAAGCTGGCTTTTCTTACTGGCATTTGGTACATTTGGGCCACTGCTGTTGTCTTTTTTGTTTTTTGGCAAATAGTTGCTTTCTAATGTTGCATTAGTTTCTGCTATATAACCAAATGAATCTGCTATATAACCAAATATCCCCTCTCTCTTGGACCTCCATCCCAGCCCTCTAGGTCATCACAGAGCACTGAACTGAACTTCTGTGCTCTATCGCAGCTTCCCACTAGCTATTTGTTTTACACCTGGCAGTATGGTACTGGCAGAAAAACAGAAATATAGATCAATGGAGCAAGATAGAAAGCCCAGAGATAAACCCATGCACCTGTGGTCACCTAATCTATGGCAAAGGAGGCAAGAATATACAGTGGAGAAAAGACAGTCTCTTCCATAAGTGGGGCTGGGAAAACTGGACAGCTACATGTAAAAGAATGCAGTGGGAGCACGCCCTGACACCACACACAAAAATAAACTCAGCGTGGACTGCTGCTGTCTCCACAGCTGCCTCCAGTGTGTGCTCACGGGAATGGTTGGTGGATGAAGTCCCTGATGTCACTCCCTTCAGGGGATGGTATGAAGCCCGAGCCCTGGCCCCCTGGGACTGGTGTTCCCAGGCTCTGGAATCAGGCACCTGCCTGGGCAGGTATAACTGAGAGGGGTTCTCAGACCCCCTTCAGCAGACCTGGTGCAGAGCAGGTGCCACCCACCAGCTTCTCCGCATCTAAGCCTGTGTAGGTTATACTGCCTCTGTAGATTATCTGTTAACCACTGAGAGGTCATTCTCTGCTACGTGTGACCAGAAACACTGCCCTCGGGCGTGGCAGAAAAGCTGGCCTTCACAGAAGCATCGAGGGATCCTGGTGCTAGTCCTGGTGGTTGTCAGGGAGGTGGTGGTACTTGTGACCAGGAACACTGAGTTCCCTGTCTCTGATCCCACGCCCTCCCTCTCTCAGATCTATGAAGTCCTGAGTGTGATCCGGGATATTGGAGCGATTGCCCAGGTCCACGCGGAAAACGGCGACATCATCGCAGAGGTGCGTGCATCCGCGTTGTCACCGCCACCGGACCCCCTGGGCGAGACGTGGGCTCGTGGAGGGGCTGCCGTAGCTCACCTCCGGGGGGGTACCATGCTAACAGTCTTACAGTAGCATGAAGATCGGAGACGCACACGCCCCTTGATGTGTTCTCAGGACGAACAGGCTTTCCATAGAGAAGTCCTTTCTCTCAGCGCTGTGATGTGGCTGCCTGCGGGGAGGCGGATGTGGACACCCACATACAGACATGTCACACTGAAGCCCAGGACTGGGATGTGTTGGCTTTTAGCATCCTAGGGGATAGCTGTACTGCTGGGGAGGCTGTAACTGATCTGTCATAACTCATGCAGGACCGGGGACGGGGTACCAAGCCCTCTCTTTGTGGGGTCTTGGGATGAGGGTCAAAAGTGCCACTTAAATTTAATTTTTGGTCATGCTGC